CACTCCCCCCATCATTCACTATGGTAAGATTTTTTGTTCTGATGATGCCTTATACCTGGTCCCTTCAACACCTCGTGGGTGCATTCTTTTGCGTTTGTTTCTTTCATTGTTTATGGTCAGAGTAATGGTGTTTGAACTCAATGGTTCAGTTTTCCTTTTCTTGCATTCTATTAGTCAGGTCTTTCGCTATGCTAATTCTAGTTTCTTACTGTTTATCTTCTGATATTACCTTTGGTGTATGTTTCTAGCTTTCAATTATTTCTGTTGCTTCTCACAATCATTCCTCACATCTCTTGAAGGAACTTAAGCACCATTGTGTTTGGGTGATTTTTGGTTGTTTGTGTTTTTCTTGATTTTTTGTTTTGTGTGTGCAACGTTACCCTACAGTAGGGAGCCATTTCCACAGTACCATGATGTAGCAATTAAAGGTGTGTGAGTTTGTGTAGGAATTATTAAAGAATCAACAACCTCACAATTTGGATAAGGATTCCTTATCCTTTGGCAGTGTTGATGTGTGTATGCATCTGCTACCTGAGGGGGCGGAGGAGGACTGTGTGGGGTGGGCACCAGAGAAATAAAGAAAGAATTTTTGAAAAGGGAAAACGTGTCTTGAAGGGGGTTACTCACACTGGGTAATGATGGCGGCACCAAGCTGTCCACATGGTCTGCTATCCCCAGAGGGGACCCCAAAGGCTACAGATACAAGAGGTTTGGCTTGGGTGGGCTGGGACAGGTGCAGGGAAGGATCTGTTGTGCAAACGAGGGGGATGTACAGAAGCACTGTGGGTCAGTGGCCATTCGCCAATATTGAAGGGGCATCAGTAACAGTCATCAGGTGTTGCTGATCTCCAACTTAAGAAACTTGGTGTACTTCGCTTTTAAGGCAGGGGTCCTCAAACTTTTAAAACAGGTGGCCAGTTCACTGTCCCTCAGACCCACTGGAAGGCCGGACTATAGTTTAAAAAAAAAAACCAAAAAACTATGAATAAATTCCTATGCACACTGCACATATCTTATTTTGATGTAAAAAAAACAAATGGGGCAAAAACACCTGGCAGGCTGGATAAATGTCCTCGGCGGGCCATAGTTTGAGGACCCCTGTTTTAAGGTGTGGGTTTTGTTTGTTTGTGTGTTTTCACTACTAGAGAATATAGGACTTCCCTCTTGATGTGATTTCTCTGGTAGTTGTTGACATCTTCCTGTACTTGTTAGCTGGTGGTCATGTTCCCGAGGTGTACCTCTAGTCTACACTCATTGAGGACAAAAGGCCACAGCTTTAGATTGAAAGTGTCCTTCAAAAGGACACGCGGAAGTCCTAACACTTGGACCCATGAAAGTAACTTTGGGGAAATAAGGTCTCTCTTTGCAGATGTGGTCAGTTAAGGAAGTCATACTGTACTAGCATGGGTCTTCATCCAAAGCCTAGCGTCTTATAAGAAAGAATAGGAAGACAATCTGCCACCAGAGAAGACACCATCTGAGTATCCTCTATGAGCCATAGCGGCTACGCGAAGCTGAGGCACAAAGAAGGATCATCTAGATCTGACAGAGACCAGAGCCACGAGACAAGGTGTGGTTCTGAAACTATGAGACAATAAATGTCTGTTCTTTACCCACATTGGGGTATTTTGTCATCAGGAAACCAAGACAGATAGGAAATGAAATACCCAGAGGTTAAAGTCTTCCAAAATGTTTTCACATATATTTTTCCTCTGTTAAAACAAACAAACAAGTCATTATACTGCTTGGTAATGTGAATTTGCAGAGCTAATAACAGAAAGACACATGGGCAGTTGTGGTCTAGTGATTCTTACCTTCCATGAGGGAAATCAGGGGTTCCTGGACAGTGTGGCTCATGTGTACCTGCCACCTCCCTGTCAGTAGATGCTTTTACAGTGCTATGATGCTGAATAAGTTTGAGCAAATATTCCAGACTAAACTAGGTTAAGAGGAAAGCCTTGTTTAGCTTCTATTGAAAATCAGCCAGTGAAAATCTTACGGATCATAACAGTTCAATCACAATCTAATCATTGGGATAGTGTAGCAGCAGACAGCATTTCTCTTCATTTTATATGAGGTTGCCATGAGTGAAGGCAAAGTTGAAAACATCTAACAACAATAGTGGTGAGGAAATAAGAGTACTGAAGTAGTGTAGATAGAAAAATTCAGAGTAACATTGCGTTCTCCTTAGTGTTTGGGGTACATTTTAATTTCATGTTAAAGATAATAACAGACAAGATCATCGCCGATCACAGATACAGATAATAATGTGAGCCTTGGATAAGTTATGACTTTAATCAAAGTTCACAGAGCAAGTCCTGGTACTTGACTTTTGAAGATAGGTCTCATTAACCCTACACTTGTGCACTTACAACTTGTTAGTTACATTGTCTAACATCAGGACTGAGGCCCAAGTAAAGGATAGGTCTCATTAACCCCACACTTGTGCACTTACAACTTGTTAGTTACATTGTCTAGCATCAGGACTGAGGCCCGAGTAAAGGCATTACCTATTTGCTATTCCACAGGAAAGTCACAAAGATCTCATGCATACAAAATAAGGGTGGAAGGCATAGATGTTAGGCAACACAAAGTGGAGAGAGTAAGCAACATGATCATCAGAGAGATTAGTGCCTCGCCAAGGGACTATTATGTAATTACAACATAAGGACCCAATCGTGAGAACTACTTGGGAAACCCAATGAAATGCAGAAACTCAGGCCTCTCCCCCTATGGGATTTCCAGTACATCATCAAGCTTTACTACCGAATGGTTCTAAATATACCAGGTTTGAGAATCTCTTGAATAAGTCAGGATTACCCTGATAGGGGGTAAGGAGGTACATGACAGGTGGGCAAGGCTTCCTGTGACCTGCATAGAGCATATGCACATCCTGTTAGCAAGACAGCAACAGCAGGACTCCAGTCCTCCAAGGGGGAAGCTACTCTCCAAATGGGCAATTACGAGAAAAATCTGTGTCATGACAGCAGCAGCTCCTCAGAGGGCGTAAGAGCAAACCTCTTCAGCAGTGAGGGGCGAGGAGCCATTAGTCACGTTGCTGGAGTAGTTTTGGTGGCCAAGAAACTATGTAAGTATTCCCATGACGTTTCTATTGGAAATAATTACTAAGAAATCCCAAACCTCAGGGGAAAAGAGATATACTAAGGACCACATGCCTTCCCTTTCCAACCTGCCCCACTAAGTCATAATTCTAGTCACTGCTGTGGCAACTCGCACTGCTTGCTAGATTTTAAGGGCATTTTTTTAAAGGATGCATCTGTTTCTCCCTTATTAATGTTCTTGTTATCATGTAATTCAAACATGTGACAACAGCAACAAAACAAAACAAAAAACACCCTATTATGCAACTATTTTTCGCATTAACAAACTATGTCTGGCAAGGTTGTTACCAAGATATGATGCAAGATTAATACTGGCTGTGATGGTTAAGGTTAATGCCAACTTGCTGGGTTATAGTTCTCATTGGTTTGGCAGTTATGAGATGATGTAATCTGGCTGTTATGTGATCTAATGCGGGCATCCTCAATTTCTCAGAATGCTTCATCCTGATCTTTATAACCTAAGTGTATTCATAAGAAGGGAGTGGATGTACTATGCTTAAGGTCTATTTTTTTAAGAGGTATTTTGGTCAATTCTGAGGAATATTCTTTAGGTTGATTGACAGAGACAAACATTTTTATATCTAAGAATAGTTGAGCAAAATCAGCTGATAATTAGCCAGTGAGCCTCATAAGCTATATTATTGTTTCTGTATTTCTCCAAGGTTACCATGTAACCATTTTAATTGTGGCACTCAGTAAACATCTCTGGAAATACAGTGAATGAAGCAATGAGTGCCAGGTGAGTATCGCCCGACCTATCACCTTCTGCCAAAAACTCTGATGAGAATAACATTGATGGTAAACCAAACACAGTTCCACATTTTCTCCCAACAACTGACTCTTCTTGGGTTTGGTCTGCGTCTCCATGACCTTCTAAGACTTACATTTATATCGAATCATTAAAGATAACAGTGAACAGAGATCATATGATATATGCACATGCTGTTCGAACTTTGAGTTCAAAGGCTGAAGTTTACAAACTTGCATATAAGGAACTTAATAATTAACTGCTTCTGTGGTGTTGGGGTCACACATTGGGCTGCTACCCATGAGGTCAGCAGTTTGAAACCACTGGTCACTCCCTGGAAGAAAGACGAAGCCTTGTCTTCCTGTAAAGAGTGGCAGTCCCAGGAATCCCCGAGGGTGGTTCTACCCTACCCTATAGGGTTGCTGAGTCAAAATTGATTCAACAGCAGTGGGTTTGACTTTCTGATCTTATTAGCACTTAGTTCCTAGTAAAAATAAAATAAAGTCTCAGATTATGGGGGTGAGTTGAGAGAATAAAGTGTGGTATTCTCAGTTTAGTTCAATAGCCACAGAAGTTGCTAAGTATTTTATATTTGAAATGAAAAGCAAAACATGTAGCTGAAAACACATTTTCTGTAAACATTTTGTCTTTCTGTGACCAAACCAGTGTTCATTTTAGTTTCAGACTGGTGAAATACAAGCTGGAACCTACCCATGTGACTTATAGCTTAAAGACTTCACAGTCCACCAGTACATGTGCTATCAGATGATAGTGTGTGACCCCGCCTCCTCCAAGGTCACTTGAAATTCAGTACTTCAAGTACTGTCAAGGTCACTTGAAGCTGACGTACTCAAATTATCAAACAGGTCTACCAGTAGGAGCATATTAGAACAACACACAATACTTACAAAAATTTTCCATTGATCTTTGATCCTATTAAGACAATCTGCTCCGATTCATCTCGAGAGATTTTCCCGTGGAACCAGGGCATTTTTTCATGGGCAGTGGTGGCAATCAATTTTTCCAGCTGGGGTTTCTGACTGATGATAGCTTGCTCCAAAGCTTGACCCTGTTATAAGAAGGAGTTCCAAAGAGGAAGGCATAGGTAAGAGTAAGTAATACTAAGTAAAGAAAAACAAAATCTTTTAAATATACCAAAAAAATTCCCATTGAGTAATGAGCCCAACATGGGATATCAAATGTTTCCTGTCTTTATCAGTTGTAATCAACTCAATGGCAATACGTTTCATGATCTTTTCCAAGTATCTGGCCAACATTAAAAAACGAATAAAAGTGTTACATATTATGAAATATCTTCAAATTTACCAGGATCAAAATAGATTTTAGAATGAGGAGGCCAGCCTTGTAAAAGTCAGACAAGCCTGAGGAAAACAGCTGGTAGAAAGCTCCAAGCTCTACAGATCCTTCGACTCATAGTTCAGTGGATGGGATTGGTCTGCCAGATACTTGGTCACTGAATAGAAAGTAAGAAGCCCGAAGAGAGACAGGAAGGATATCCAGAGGCATGAGCGTAACGCTTTCATATCAGCCTCGACCAGGTTTCACTCTCCGGGCTCAGGTGTCCTGCTGCCTGCAACTCTGGAACGGTAACCACCCAAAGTGAAAGGGATTACATGGTAAACATAGCTGAATGAAAAAAGATAATAATTGGCCAGTTTCCCATCCTGCTGCTGGGGGACTCAGCGGTGGGCAAGACGTCGCTGCGGCGGGGCTGAGCCAGGGCCGAGCCTGAGCCGGAGGCGGTGCCCACGATGGACGTCAGGTTCTGCAGCTGCGGGTCAAGCTGCAGCTCTGGGACACCGTGGGCCAGGAGCATTTCAGGTGCATCGCCAGGTCCTTTTACCAGAACATGGTGGGCATCTTGCCGGTCTTTGACGTGACCAACAGGAAATCCTTTGACCACATCCGAGATGGGCACGAGGAGGTGATGGCCATCCCAGGCCCCGACAAGGCCGTCTTCGTGCTGGTTGGCCACAGAGTGACCTGCAGAGCGACCCAGGCGGCAGAGGAGCTGGCCGCCTCCCTGGGCATGGCCTGTGTGGAGATGTCAGCCAGGAGCCACAGTAGTGTGGACCTGGCCTTCCACAGCCTGGTTGATACCATCCAGCAAGCCCTTCGTCAGGGAGCCACCAAGCTGGAGGAAGACTGGGGCAGCGTCTGCTTCATCCACAAGACGCAGAGCCCCGGGGGCCCCCCCAAAAGGAAGCCATGCCCAGGCCCATGCCAGTGTGGATCTGGAGAGAGAGCCAGTTCAAACAGTGCCAACTCATTCCCCCTGGTACAATGGGGGTGGGGTGGGGTGGGGTGCAGAGTATGACCTCTCGGGAGTAGTCGGGGAGAGGGGCAAATAGTAACATGTACAAAGGGTTCATCTAAACAGCACTCTGACATTTGGGGGTTGGGGGGAGTTCAGAGCTTAGCCCCTTGCTAAGAAGAAGTCTAAGACTCCAGCTTCAGTTGCCTCAGCTGTGAAAGAGGACTCAGGAAACACCCACTTCTGGCACAGCATAGGGCACACAAGCCATCTTCCTTCTCCTGTTCTGGGGAGGAGACTCTCTCCAGCAGCCCTTAAGGGCAGCTGCTGGCCTCTCCCTGTCTGGAGGAAAGGAGAGGGATGTAAATGGAGGGCATGTGAAAACAATTGGTCTGATGGATGGACCGCAGAAGCGTGGTCCCGAGAAGCACTGGTCGGTGCCGGGCTTCCACCACCAACTGATCTGCAGGGGCTCACATTAGAAGGTCCTGGATAGAGTGGGAGAAAACATTGGGAACACTTTCAAAATAATTTTTAAAAATTGGTTAGGCTTATCAATTCTGGGGTAGAGACTGGCAGAACCCTCAAGTCTTTAGCCCTTAGTCATCTTTCAGGTCTGGAAATTAACTCCCACCTCCCACCCAGCTCAATTTACAGGCAAACAATAGATAGGTGTATACAGAGAATAATACCACTAGGGAGCTACACACGCTTTAGAATGATTAACAGTTTGAGACCAAAAGGGCAGCATTTCCCCAAGGACAATGTTCAGAAAGGTTAGGAAAAGAGGAAGGGAAACAGGAAACACAGGGTGGAAGTGGGACAAATGATGTCACCTTGTAGGGATTGCAACTGATGACATGAAACAATGTGCATGAATTCGTCAATGGAAAACTTATCTGCTCTCTAAACCTTACCCAGTTCACAATAAGAAGTGGAAAAACAAGAAAAGCCCACCTCCCAAGGAGGCCATCAGTATGGATAGCAGACAGGCTTGTGCTCAGCCAGAGCTGTCAGCATTCCGCCCTCTCTTGACTGGCTGGGAGAGAGCCGTTTCTGGCAGTGTTGCTGGTATTGGATGAGGCTGCATCCAGCATCTGGATGCTGCACAGGTGCGGGCAGCTACGGAAGCTCCACTGCAAGCCTGTCTTGGAGTCGTCTTAGGGACTCCGATGAGGATGAGGTTGGGTTTGGGGGTAAAGGTGTGGCCTCAAACCTAGGTGCTAAGGGTCGAATTGTGTTCCTCAAAAGGATACGGTGCAGCCTGCTAACAAGGAGAACGTGACCTTGTTTGGAATGTGAACATTAGGACATATTGCAGTAGAGTGGGTCCTAGGCCCAACCCAGTCTGGATAATAACCGTGTGGAAGAGGAGAAGAGATGCCCCAGAGGACTGCTATTTGAAGCCCTCAGTCCTGGCACCTTGACTCTCAGAAGCTAGGCGACAAGAAAGGATCTTGCTTTTGAGACATTAGAGGAAGCATGGTTTGGCCAACACACGGAATAGACTGAGCCCCAGAACTGTGAGACAATAAATGTCTGTTCTTTAGAGCCTATGTATCTATATATCTATATCTATATCTATCTATCTATCTATCTATCTATCTATCTATATTCTGAAACATTAAGTAAAATTATTTCATTATCTTTCTTTGTGGAAGAGAAACAGATTATCTTCCAGTGGTATATACTATATACATACATATTATACAAAGAATGTGTAATAAAGAAACAAAGAAGTAAAAAATAAAGTAAATTACTCCAAACTTGAAGATGGAAGGAGGGAAATTTGGAAGGGAATGTGAATATGGTCATTTTATCATGTTTCACAGATGGAATAAAATCCCTTTGACATGCTCCAGAGGCAATATCAACAAAGGAGGTGGAGAAGCTCAAAACGTAAACTACCCCTCAGCCGCATCAAAGCATGAGCCAGGCATGTATCACAAATGCAGTGGCCATGTGAAAGAAGCCAGTCTTGAAAAAGACACATTCCTAAGACATTCTGGAAAGTAGCAACCATAAACTTCGAAACCAGATGAGTGGTTTCATGATTTAGATTGTGGGGAAAAGTAAGACAGAACAAGGGAGTGAAGGTGAAGATTTGGGCAGAGTATGTGTGGAGTCTGTGACAATATCTTGGGATACATGTCCTAGAACCCCCTGCGACCCCAGGAGAAAGCTCTTGAGAATCTCATGTATGTGAAAACAGTGCTGGGTATGCATACATGAGACACGAAATACCAAGAATAGCTATGCTGACTGGGAAGGATTTCTTTCTCCTTAGGAGTTAAAAAAAATTTTTTTTGAGATGTCTTATGCCTTCCAAATATATTTCTTTCTCTTGGCAAGACAAGAACCTGAATTCCAGTAACTTTTCTGGTGAGCCAATCCAGGAGAATGGGAGGGGGGGGGGGCGGGATAAAGAAAGCACCATTCTTGACCATGATGGAATCACACTGCAGTCTTCCTGGCAAGAAGATGAGCATCCCTTTCAATTCTGCATCTTCTTGGTCTCTACAGTGAGAATCCAGCTCCATACCAGAGGTGAGAGATTCTCACTTGAGGATTTTACTTAGCTCTCTTTTGGCAGTCTATCTGTCTATTATCCTGAATTTTAAATCTTCCAATACCCAAATTCTGTACTGTGTGGTCAGGATGGAAATATTTTCTTTGTATGTGTGAGACTGGGTTTCTTTGGTGTTTCTGTCTTGACCTTGAAAACTAGGTTATTGTTTCCTTCCATTTATGTTGAAGTTTAAAGGTTTTTCTGTTCTTTTGACCTGTTTTGAGAATGTTGTGAGTCTACAATGGAGACGAGAACTTTGGATTGAGGTTTTAAAACAGATTTAGTTGGCTTGGTATTGGGGAAACAGGGGATGAGTATAGGCTGCTTAATTTTTGAGAAGCATGGGCTCGCCCTCTACCCAAGCTGGCGACCAGCAGGACACCACACGTGTCATCCTTCCCCAAGATAAATAAGCCTCTACTTTGGAAACCTCTTCTGACCTGATAAACATTTTCCAGGTTCTTCCTTCCTCTGTTAACAAACGGCTTTAAATGTTTGCAAGTTTTATTTACGGATGATAATCATGAAGTGTATACGGATATTTATTTCTTAAAACTCTGGTTTTATGGCACGTGCATGCTTATGAGTCAAACTTTTAATATGATAAGGAACAGATGAAGTTATGGATGTATATATGTAGTAACTTTAGAATCAATATCTAAGTTATTTGCTAATGTTAAATTGATTTAATAAATATTTTATCTATTTGGAAGGTAACATACATTTTTAAAAGAAAATATGTATCTATGCTCAGGTCTGCTAAATAATGTGTTCATTTCTTATGCTTAAAGAGTTATTTAAGAGCTGTTTAAGATCATACAAAAATTTAAAATTTTTGTGATATTAGCTAGATTTTGGTAGATTTATTCGTAAGAGAAAAAAACTGGCAAATCCATAAATTTCCTAGATCAAGGGCATTTGTACCTTAAAAAGCTCATCAGGACAAAGGCTAATTAGGATATGAAGGCTCATCTTAATATTTGAATCAGACTCTAATCAAAGTTGTCAAACCTGTTTATTGACCACCAGAGCCTACTTAAAGTGTGTGGCTTATAACTTATAGTTTTGAACCTTCAAATCTTTCACAAGGCCATATCCAGAAATAGTAATGGGGTCACTGTTACTTAAAGTAGGAAGGTAAAGCAAAACACACAGTCCTACATCACGGCTCGTTTATTATGATGATCAGTTCAAGTAAATGTTAATTATCACAATAAGTACATTAGTTCAGTAGACGTAAGCTGAGAAAGCACTGCAAGTAGACGACTTCAACAATTTCTCAGTTATGCAGCTGAGAAACAAGAACAGAAGGCTTAATAACAAGCTTGGTTTTATATCTGAAACTTCAAAGCATTGCATTTTAATATATTTCCTTCTAATCTGACATTTCTTTTGACTTTTATTTCCCATTGTTTGGCTCTGCATTAGTTTGGAAACTTCCCAATCAAATATTTCAAATACATAAATATATTTCACATATGTATTGTATATACTCGAGTATAATCTGACCCATATATCAGCCAAGGCACCTGATTTTACCACAAAAACTGCATTAAAAATGTGCTGAAAAACTCAGCTTATACATGAGTATATATGGTATTTACTATGACCTAACCATGACCATAGTAAGTTTTGTCACCTACAGATAAACCTTTGTTTGTGAACCCAGGAAGACATTTAACAAAATAGTTTTTCTACAAAAATAGACTTATATTCTATTTATAAAAAGGACCAGTATCCTAAACTTGAAGCCCACCAGACTAAATCAAGATTTATAGATCTATGAAAGGTAAGAAGGCTCATGAATTACTGCTAACTCATAAATTGTCAAAATTTAGCCACAACATAGATGAAATGTTTCTTTAAGTCCTTTATGTGAGAATATTATGGTCATTTTAAGAGTATCTTCTGTATGTAAGTAACTACTTAAAGGGGCTTGCTATAATTTAATCTATTCAGGTCTGGGACAAAGTGGTTATTGCTAGAACATGGCAGAATTCCAACCATGAGGGTGCCAGTCTCTTTAAAACATTGGCCAGGATCCTAGTAAGTTAAAAGTTAGGCTGCCAACAGTAAACGGTTCAAGACCACCAACAGCTCTTATGGGAAACGGATGAAACTGTCTGCCCCCATGAGGATGTGCAGCTCTGTCTTGCCCTATGGAGTGGCTGCAAGTCAGAATCGACTTGATGGCAGCAGCCAGAAACCATTATAAAGTGACGTGCGGTGTACCTCAAGGCACTTTCCCCCACCAGGTTTAGGACAGGTGGAGCCAAGGTGTGGTTTTACTGTATGGGTCCTATGAGAATTTTCTAACCATCAAATGATTATCTCTACTGGATTGACACTTTTTATAAATTCCAGAAGTCTTTGGAATCTGCCTTCTCCTTTCACTGATCCCCATTCCTTCAAGCAGTAAGCCAGAGAGCTACCTAGAGGGAAGAGCCTCCTCACACAGGGGCGAGGTAGCCGGGGTTATGCAGTAAGGACCAGTTAATTCTGGAAACCCAGGTCTGGAGAGGGGACATTCTCTTCTATTTTTTTTAACACAGTATAAAGAAAGAGGACACTTGAGACCTGCCACGGTCTCCTTTGCTCTTTCAGGTGAAAAATACCCTCAGACACAGTTCTGGGATGCAAGTTTAAGAACTGGGACAAGGTGAGTTCTCAGATCCTAAGGAAAAACTAATATTCTGTGTAATAAGTTAGGAACTGGAGGAATTTGGCCTGAAAACAGTAGCCTACACTATAATGGCAAACTAGCTACCATTAACCAAGGGTCTTTAGAGAACCTGATGGCATTTTAAAAGTTAGAACAGGCTTTAATAAAAGCTACTGCTCTGGATCCGAAGAATCCCATGGGAAAATAATACTAAGAGGTAAGTTTATGACTTTATCCAAGTTGATAGGTCTTCCTTGAGATCATCAATCAGAAATTATAAGAGTTGGGAGTAGGTTCAGTAATACTGTAAATCTTTCTAATAAGTTTTGAGAAAACAAGGGAAGTGGTCTTCCCACAAGAAAGTTTAATATAACTTAGCCTGTTTGTCATTAAATCAACTCCTTATAGATTAGGGGAGCTGAAACACTTAAAAAAAAATTTTTAAGCTGACATGCCTACTTTAGGCAGAAACAAAGATATTCCAAAACCCTGTAAAGGCATTGGACCCTTTGAATTTATATTTCTTCAAAAGTTAACAAGTAACCTTCCATTTGAGTCCATCATACATTGGCTAACTGTTATTATATCCTATTCATCTTCTGCCCCAGATTTGAAAGTTATGTTTGTTTTAGTGGGTAAGTGCAAAAAAGTGTAAAATGCTGCAAAATTCCCAGGCATAACATCTTAGGTACATCTTTCTCACCTAAAGAAAACCAAGCTCCTGGACTGGTGTTCAAACCAAATAGAATATTGAACCTGAAATTTATGAGCCCTCCAAAATCAATCACCAATCAGTCTCCTTTCTGA